GAGAGAGATTTTCAGCCCTTGTGTACCTCAAACCACCCAACTGACATGATGGCTCCCTTTCACTGGTTGGGTACTCCTACCGTGTCCCCCAATGCTTCCCAGTGCGGTGCCACACATGGGAAAAGTTATTCAAGATGCCAACTCTCCCACCTCCCCTTTGAAAGAAATAATAAATGGAGAGGATTTAATAAGGTCACACGGATCTCACAGATCTTGGAGTTTAGGGCGAGTCATTGCCCCATGGGACACCTGTACATTCCTGAGCAGAGACAGGTGAGATAAGGGAAGCAATTCCATTGGAGGGTCAGGAAATCAGGATGAAGCAGTTGATGTAAAAACACAAAGGTGGGAATGGGACCTAAGTGTTTCTTCTCAAGGGACGCCGAGGGGTACCTGTTGGCAACTCTCCCTGGACAGGAGTGAAGGGACCACAGGCCTCCAATCCAATTAGTGACTCCAGACGGCCCCTGGATAGAAGGAAGTGAACATTTTCCCGATAATTGGGACCTTTTATTACTTCAGAGAATGCGTTTCTTACTCTTGTGCACAGAGTTTTATAGAAAAAGTGGTTGACTCCATCAAGTCCCCAAACAAATATTGTCAAGAAACCGTAACTCGTTTTCCCAGCCATGACCGGAATTCCTGCCCAACACATTGTAGGTCGGGCAGGATGGAGGCCGGTCCTCAGAACTGTGGCTGACTTCTTCTCGAGTCTGAGGAGACTAAATGCCAAGGCAGGTCAGGAAGCAGCAGGACGGACCGAGAAAGACTTACATCCTGCCCTGGGTCTATACACAGGGTTCCAGAAACTTCTCTGGGGCCCAGGACTAGGACTTCCTTTAGGGCCTCAGGGCCCTGCCTCCTCCCTGGTCTCTCACGGGATGTTTTCTTCCCGCAGGTGCAAAAGGTGGGAGCTATGCTCAGGCTGCCAGTGAGTATGGATGGGGGACCCCTGAGACCCTGTGACAGTGCAGATGAGAGCCATGGGGGGAGCCCACTCCCCATATTTTATCCTTGAATCTTCTGTGCTGGGTCTGACCCCATCCTGTTGCGTCCACCCCAGGCAATGACACCGCCCAGGGCTCTGATGTGTCTATTTGGGTCTATACAGGGGAAACCCTACCGAGGGGAGGGGTGGGCAGAGACGAGGACTGGGTGGTGGGGAGTCTGTGGGACACTGTGAGCATGAAGTGGGCTTTGAGAATGTCACCAGTTACAGCCACTGACCTGAATGTGTTCATGATGCTTGTCCTCCACAGCGTGAGGCAGCTGCCTTGTGGGGACTGAGTGATGGAAGATGTGTTCACGCTCCCACTTCCTGACTCAAGAACCTCTGATGGGGAGTCTGGCCCCGCCCTGCTCTCCACACTTTCCTGTCAGCAGGGTTGGGCTGGGCCCTGCCCATCCCTGCCTTTACTCCCTGCTGCTCTGAGCTGCCACTTCCTGCTCTGTATTGAAATGAGACTCTGATATGACTTTGTTCATTGCTTGCCATGAAGCGTTGATGGGTGAATTAAAGGAGAAGATCCTAAAGTTTGAGAGGAAATGGATGGAAGCACTGAGAACTTTCCAGAAGCCATGTGTTTGCAGTGCTGAGCCTATCCCAGGTGGGACAAGAGGGGCTGTGAGGAGGAAGCGTGGTTGGAGCCTGTGCATGGCCAGTGCTCAGAGCATCATGGGCTTTGATGTGGTCACTCCTCATCTGGGTTACCTCTCTGCTCCTCTGACCTTGTCCCTCAGTG